GCCTCACATTTCCTAGGCACCATGAAGTCGCACACGTGACCCCTTGCGTGCTGTGGAACATCACCGGGGTGGTTTTCATCCCCACTGCTAGAAGCAGGAGGCTGCCGCTCAGAGAGGGCAAGCAGCTGGCTCCAGGAGTCAGTGCTTGGACGTGGCCTGGCATGGTCTGCACCAACCTCACTGAGGCCCAGGCCTGGCTCTTTCCCCGGACACCATCGCCAAGAAGGCAGGAAGCAGCTCACTTACCTGCAGCACGTGTTCTTTCTATCTGCTTATTTGCCTGCAACAAAATGAAGGAAAATGTGTGTAGGGGGGACAGTGAGATGACCCAATGATGACCCTCTGAGAACTTGATAAAGCAGAGCCACATCTCAGAAATCTAGATTCTGTACCTTTTCCAATCAGTGCTGCTTATTTATGGCTCCTGTAGGTAGTACATTGAGCAATTCAATAACAGAATTGCTTATTTGTTCTCTGAAAAAAAAAATAAGAGCAGGTGGGAGATGGAACGAGGGGTTGCCTATTACAACCAGCCCCAGGCTGTCTTTGTCCATCTGCACTGCATGCAGCCCTGCCAGAACGGGAGAGGTTCCAAGTCAAGGAGCCCTGTCCCGGCCCTCTGTCCTGTGCCTTTGGCATTGGCTGGCCTGGTTCCCACCTTCCCAGTCCCCTATCCAGTGAGCAGGGTGGTGAGGGGACGCTGCTTTCCAGGCCCATAGGTGAGGCCTGGCCTTCTCTGTGCTCAGCTCTGTCTAAGCCGTGCAGAACTGTGGGCCTCCCCCAGGGGTCCACCCTGACTGTCCCTGGTGAGTACGGGAAGATCCCAACTGTGATTCCATCACAGTGTGACTGGCAGCACAATCGCCCCCCGGGGGCCCTGGAGAGGGTACATTGTACCCCCACACTTAAGGCAGAGCTTGCCAAGGTCACCATGCTCACCCTGAGCCCTCCTCTCCACAGGCACTGGGACCCTCCAGTGCAGGGTCCTCAGGCTCTGTCTGGTGCTCCTCCCACTTTCAAGGGGGCTCCAGTCATTTTCCTCCATGAGAATCTTAACGTCGCTGCTACTCAGAAGCTCCGTAATTTCCCACCTCCCACCTAGACCCTCCTGGGATGCAGGCCCACGGTGCCTTCCTCCAGCCCCACTCCAGGACCCACTCCTGGGCTCACCTGACCAGACTCAGGGGGAACATGCTCCCCTCCACTGAAGCACCCACACTTGGATGATACCCATCCCTTCCTCCCTAGTTCTGATTGTCTCCCTCTTTCCCCACTGGCCCAGGGCAGAAAGTGACACACAACAGTAGGTGCTGGGCTATGTCCCGAAAGGCCCCCCACATCTGCGCCACCTGATTTGGGAATCTTCACAGTCAGAATGTTCTAGGGAAAGGGCAGAGCATGGAGGGAAGGACTTGGGTCAGGTGGAGGGCTGGGCTTTGAGGGGAGGAGTCTGTCTACTAGCACAGGGTCCAGGCAGCGCCAGTGCAGAGGTGCAGCGGGGCCCAGGGGGCCAGGGCTGAAGGTCAGGGTGGGCAGTGAGGGGAGGGTCCAGAGCAGCTGTGCCTGCACACCAGTGGGTTCCTCAGTGTGGGCTCAGGGGCCCCCTCTGCTCCCTGGCCCTCCCTGTGGCCTGATCGCTGGGCCTGCTTTAGGGGATCAGTGAAACACTTACCTGTCCGAGGTCAGCTTCATGTTGATGTGGCCGTGTGTCGAGTAGGTAATGAACGACATACGCTGTTTGGGGCTTGGGAGGAAACATGGGCTTGTGAGCAACTATACACACAGGCTGAAAGTGATGCTGATATGCAACAGGGAGGGGGTGCCCACCAAGCTCCCTGTTCTCCATTCTGTCTCTTTTAGTGTGGAGTCCATTTCCTGGACTCCAGAAGTTCTCATCACTTTAGTGAAGGATTATGAGGCCTGGAAGGCGTGCAGCCCTCTTGTCAGAGTGCGGCATAGCACCCTGTAGACCCAAATCCCAAAAGTCTGTTTGCTCTCTCTGCCTCTCTCTCTCTCACACACACACACATGCACACAGGGCTGCTGCATGCACAAGGAGATAGGCAGCTACATGCTCTTCCACGAGGGCCCTCCCAAGCTGGCCTCTCCTCTCCTGACAAATTCTTTGTACTTTCACTTCTCCTCCTCCCTGGACCATCTTCCCCAACTCCCTCCCCCTCATCTCAAAGAAATTATCCTCCCTCATCAGCCATTCATATTCTCCCCTCCCTTTTCCCCTTCTGGCCCCTTTCTTCTCATCACCTGGCCCTCATTATCCTTTAGTTACATTGTTCCCACAGGTCCCTATATGAGCTCCCCACTGATCCTGGCTCTTGCCCACCATTATGAGACTTCTCTGCCTGGAGTACAGCTGGAGTCCTGTCTTTCTGGAGTCCCACCAGCCCCTCTGATCACGCATCGTCCAGAGCTCCCTATGGCTCACAGCAGGAAATCCAAGCCCTGCTTCCTGGCATTATTGGCCTCTTTGCCTTGGCCACAAGTTGACCTCTTGCTTCACCTCCCACCTTCCCATGTTAACCATGTTTAGCCAAATAGACCCCTTATTGCTCAAATGACCTCCATGGTTCTTGTCACCCTCTATTTCTCATCCTTCAAGATCTAGATAAAACTTCCACAACCAGATGCTTAGTTACAGTGTTAAGGAATTTGCCTATTTCCTAATCTGTGAGGTCCTCCAGGGAAGACTGTGCTCCTGAAAACAAGGCCTGACTCCCAGGAAGGAGCCAAGCAAGGCTGCATAGATCTTAGGAAACAAATGGGATCTGTCCTTCTCTCCTGCTTCAGAACACTGCCCTGAGCTTTGCGACTTGAGCAGTCCCATGTCCGCTGCATCTAAATAGCAATGTACTCAGTCAGAGAGGAAAACGCCCCGCAACACAGAGCTGAAAAGCCATACTTCTTAAATCTCTTCACCAAATCCTGCACAAAGCTCTGTGTGAACATCCATTTGTTGTTTACACTGTGTGATCTGAAAAAGAAGAAGACATGAGTCAGAGATGGAGGTGCATGTATCACGTGAGCATGGTTTCTGCCTTCCCTGCCTTCCTGCAGGCCCTTAGCAAGCTCCTCCACGAGAGCCCCCAGCTCCTGAAATAGCTAAAGCCACCACAGCTCCTGGAGGGAGGTCAGTGGGTTACCCTCGTGGTGACTTTAGTCAGTGTGAGTGGCAGCAACTGACCAATTAGACCTGTGTGGTAGGGGATGAGGGACTTCTCGGATGAGGGGCTTTTGGCAGTAAACACAGATGGTTGATCATGCCACTTGGGAATGTTAGGAAATGAGGTAGGATGCATTGGTGGGTAAAGCCTCCAGAAATTCTGATATGCTGGCTCTCCTGGTCCCCCATTTCTCCTTGGGAATCACCATTCCCAGCTCTCTGCTCCTCCTCCAGCCCTTGAACAAGGGGGTGGGTCATGGCTCTCGGCTCTTCCTCCCCACCATTCCTTCTGCCTCCAAGGCTACATCTAAAACCGTCAGCAAATAGTGAGGAAACTAAGGACAGATGACCCCAATATCAAGATTACCCAGTGAGTACATATCTATCAGGCACTTTACATACATGATTTCTGATTCCAGAACAACCCTATGATAGTACAATTATTCCCACTTTTCAGATGAGAAAACAGGATTCCATAGGTCATAGAATGTGACACAGTTTCAATAGCTAGCATGGATGTGAACCCAGCCCTGGCTGCAAACCCCACACTCTACCCATCGCACTTGGCAGGTCAGGGTGACACTGAGTCAGACAACTGCTGGGTAGCAAAGCAGCAGACTTTGTCCACCTACTTAGAGATTTTCTCTCAGACCCACACTGAAGTGCAAGACAACTCCATTCCTAACTAATGATGGCAACACTTTCCCTTTTCCTCCCCATTACCTCTCTCCTCTGTTATCCCATTGAATGAAAAGGACACTCCAAAGACAATTTATAGGAAACAAGAGTCTTCAACCCACCTATCTACTCTGGGATAGTTGTTAATTTATGATAATTTTGAAGGAAACCCTTGATTGTGAGGGTTCACAGGCAACCACAGGGACCTACAGTCCCCAGCAAGGAGGCAGTAGGGAACAGAGCAGACACGTGGGCTTCTGGCACTCAGGGCTCCAGTCATGATTTAGTGCCCCACTCTTCAATGAGAATGGAGAGATGGGCATCAATACACAGCTCCACAATTAAACCTTGAGGCCAAAACATCCTAGTGATATAACTATTCTGGGAGAATGGATGCATAGAGCAGAATCATATAAGGGAGCTGAGATGTAACAAAGCTAAATTCTCTTCTTCCACAGTAAGAAGTTAACAGAGAATATGTAACCTCAAGCAGCAAGAAACAGCATAAAGTATAAACATGTTTTAGTGTATAAACACATTATTAGATACATGGTCACAGAATATATTAGATACATGTTCAAAAAAATAAAATCTGGAATACTTGCAAATGGCTGTCTCTGAGGAGTAGGATCAGAAGTGGGGTGGTATGGGGCAAGAGCCTCAAGGTTTTTGTTTGTGTGTGTGTGTGTATTTGTAATAGTGTTCTATCTTAAATTTATGTTCAAGCATTTCCTTGATAAATTTAAAAATGAAATTACAGACAAACTAGTGGCATGAAGTGTGAAAATGGCAGACTTGGAAGCTCTAAGCCTTAGTTTCCACAAAGAAACACTGAACAAACAGAGGCTTAAACTGGAAACAGTATACTTCCATGGAAAACAACAAAGGTAGGCAGAAACCGAGGGAAAAAGAAACAATGGAAATATAAGACAGCAAACAATAAGATGATATAGCAAGTTCTCACTTATCAAGAATCACTCTAAATGTGAATAGATTAAATTCACCATTCAGAAGGCACTGAGTGGCTGGGTACATAATAAAACCCAAATATATGGTGCTTACAAAAGACTCATTCAGCTCTACATATACTGTGTGTATATGTAGGTTAAAAGTGAAGTGACAGAAGAAGAAATTCCATGCAAGTGGAAATCAGAAGAAATCAGCCATAGTTATATCAGATAAAATAGTCTTTAAGCCAGATATTTAGAGAAGCCAAGATGGCAGCATGAGTAGGGCAGTGGAAATCTCCTCCCAAAACCATATATATCTTTGAAAATACAACAAATACAACTATCCCTAAAAGAGAGACCAGAAGATACAGTACAACAGCCAGGCTACATCTACACCTGCGAGAACCCAGCACCTCACAAAGGGGGTAAGATACAAGCCACAGCCCGGCAGGACCCGAGCACCCTCCACCCCAGCTCCACGGCGGGAGGAGAGGAGTCAGAGTGGGGAGGGAGAGGGAGCCCAGGACTGCTGAATACTCAGCCCTAGTCATCCTCACCAGGAGCGCAGACACACAGTGAGTCGTGTGCTGGATACTAGGGAAACGGAACAGTAAAACCTGCAAGCAGGTCCCCACAGCTGGCACCCCTGGGACAAAAGAAAAGCAAGTGCCTTTTAAAAGTCTTAAAGGGACAGGAGCCTCACAGCTAGACGGAAGTGTCATGACATGCTCAGCCCAGCAGCTGGGAATCCTGGGGAACTCTGGACGCCCTAACACCCTGGGTGGCAGTGCATCTCTGAGACCCCTCATGGCAATAAACAGCCTCCCGCCTGTTCCCCCTCTGGCGTGGCCCCGCCATAACGGAGCAGCAGCCTGAGACCAGCCATGCCTACAGCAGCCACGCAGAGCTTCCTCCAGAGCAGCTGGGCCAGATTCAGACCCCATCAGCATGCAGCTGCCCAGCACAAGCCGCTAGGGGTCACCATTCTTGCAGGATAGGAAGGTGACAAGCAAGCCAGAAGGGACTTTAGTCTCCCAGCTGACACATGCACCAGACTTCCCACGACTACCTCTACCACCATGAAAAGGCAGAAGAATTTGATATAGACCAGAATCACACAGACATCGCCTGAGAGGGATCCTGGGAAGATAGATTTAACCAATCTTCCTGAAAAAGAATTCAAAATAAAGGTTATAGCCATGTTGGTGGAGCTGCAGAGAAAAATGCAAGAGCTAATGTATAAAGTTGGGAGGGAGAATACAGAAATAAAACAATCTCTGGAAGGACTTATAAGCAGAATGGACGAGATGCAAGAGGTCATTAATGGAATAGAAATCAGAGAACAGGAACACAGAGAAGCTGATTCAGAGAGAGATAAAAGGATCTACAGGAATGAAAGAATATTAAGAGAACTGTGTGATCAATCCAAACGGAACAGTATCTGCATTATAGGGGTACCAGAAAAAGAAGAGAGAGAGGAAGGGATAGAAAGTGTCTTTGAAGAAATAATTGCTGAAAACTTCCCCAAACTGGGGGAGGAAATAGTCTCTCAGACCATGGAAGCCTGCACATCTCCCATGACAAGGGACCCAAGAAGAACAACACCAAGACACATAATAAATAAAATGGCAAAGATCAAGGACAAGGACAGAGTATTAAAGGCAGCCAGAGAGAGAAAAAAGGTCACCTACAAAGGAAAACTCATCAGGCTATCATCAGACTTCTCAACAGAAACCTTACAGGCCAGAAGAGAATGGTATTATATATTCAATGCAATGAAACAGAAGGGCCTTGAACCAAGAACACTGTATCCAGCATGATTATCATTTAAATATGAAAGAGGGATTGAACAATTCCCAGACAAGCAAAAGTTGAGGGAATTTGCCTCCCACAAAACCACCTCTACAGGGTATTCAAGAGGGACTGCTCTAGATGGAAGCACTCCTAAGGCTAAATAGATGTCACCAGAGATAATAAAATCACAGCAAAGAAAGCAGACCAACCAAATGCTAACTAAAGGCAAAAAATAAATAAATAAACTACCCACAAAAGCAGTAAAAGGAAACATAAAAGAGCACAAAATAAAACACCGTCAAATATAAAGAATGGAGGAAGAGGAATAAGAAGGGAGAGAGATAAAGAATCATCAAATGGTGTTTATTATAGCTCAATAAGCAAGCTAAGTTAGACAGTAAGACAATAAAGAAGCTAACCTGG